AAAAGTGAATCCTGATTATTGAATTACTCAAAGTGGTTAGGTTTTGCTAAATTAATATAGAAAATAGTGTAGCACAAAGTTTTGTGCAAAATTTATTGCATAATGTGTCCAGTTTACCATAGGATATTTTTGTTGCATATGGATATAGTTCCTATTAGAGATCTAAGATGCTTCTTCAATGACCACATCAGCAATGTTATCTTTTTTCGTCTTCAGCCGTGGTTTGATTCGCTACAAAACATATCAGAAAATCTAATGTCGCAATATTTTTTCCCCTAAATTGGGATGCTTGAAAATATAGGCAAAACGGATTATTTATATCGTCTTTGACATCTCAGGCTCTATTTTGAGGGTCCATGCGCAAAACGGAAGGCGCAGGGCGCAAACGCTTTCAGGACATGTCAGAATCCATATTTGCTAATTTAAGGACGGGAAAATCCGCTTTGCGCCGTGGCGCATGGTCTAAAAGGGTTGAGTTTATTTTCTTAATGAGTTATAGGTGTGTTTTAAGAATAAACCAATCGGAGTCTCATCTCCCATTCCCTTTAAGAGCCAGTTGCATCGCCATAAGCACATTTGCTATTTACAGGACGTAAAGTAAGTGGAAGTGGAAAAACTGAGCATTTCACAAGCAAACAGTTAACAGTTTTTTTTTTTTTTTTTTTTTACAGAAAACTGTTAAACAGAGCATCTACTGCGCAAGAATGAGAGATAAATGATCTACTTTCACTTTCGCTCTTGGATAGGGAAACCTTTACACACAGACATCAATTAGCCTATAAATAATTAATTTAGTTTGTTAAGAGCAAAGATTTGTTTCAAAACTATTTCTAAATTCAGTTCTAATCTCCAGCAAACTAATCAATGAACAATAATATCGAAGTGTGCCCAAAAACCTGAGTTATATCCTAAAACACATGCTGTGCCCCATGTGGTCTAAAACCTGCAGGTGGGCAAATCTAAGCTTGTTTTTATTAAAACAAATATAAATATGTATATAATAAATAATACTGCTAATAATAATAACATTATACAAAAACAAATTGTTATGAATGAACTGAAAAAGCCTCCAGAGATGAAGAAGACATAAAAGCAGTGATTTTTCATATTTATGTAGGCTAGAAAATAATATTTTTGTAATATTTTAATCCTTTATATTTATATATATATATATATCCTAAATATAGGCCTATCATTAATATTAAAATTTTTTCATAAGTAAAGATATTTGCGTATTGCTCTACATCATGTGTATAGGCTATTAAGCAGTGTGTAAGCGAGGCGCAACTCTGCGCTGGAGTTTAGACCGGGTTTGTTTTGGTCTAATGAAAAATCTATTATAGTTTCTCAAAATAGCAACACACCAGCAATGCGCATCAGAACGCCTTCCTTTTTAGACCAGAATGCCTATGGGCGCACATATGAGCACAAATGCATTTGCTATTTAAAGAGCGTAGCGCAACGCCTCAAAACGACTCTTGCGCCAAGCTGAAACTAGCAAACACGTATTGCGCCGCGCCTTGCGCCACATTGCGCAGGGTGTATGATAGGGCCCATCATCTTTGACCTACACTGTAAAAACTATTAGCAAATTAGCAGTTTTTAGCATTTTTGGGATTCATATTTTTATTTTCTACCATTTATTTATGCTTTTGAATTGCAATATTGGAAGCTTGATCTTCCATCCCACAACTTTTAACTCTGAAAATTAAAAAAAGGGACGTTTTTTAACATTTTCATTAGTTTAATGTGATATATTGTGTGGGTTGGTGTTGTATACACTTTCAGAAATAAAAGAACGCGAGGTGTCACTGGGGTGGTACTTTTTCAAAAGGTACAAATATGTACCTAAAAAGTCCATAATAATACCTCAAGGGTTCGTATTAGTACCTAAAAAGTACAATAGTGTTCCTCTTAAAATTTTGGTACTATTATATACTTTTGAGGTACCGATATAGACCATTTAAGTACAAAAGTGTACCTTTTAAAAAGGTACCACCCCAGTGACAGCTTGCATACCTTTATTTCTGAGAGTTTTTTAAGATTTAAAAACCTTGTAATAAACTGCCAGTTCATTTTCTGTTATTTCACAGACCTATTTCTCTCTAGATATTATTTTGTATACATTGTAGGGTTTCAAACGACTAAAATGTCAATAAACGTCACTTTATTAAACTGTAGAGTTGACATTAGACATTAAACATTAACATTAAAACAATATTAAAAGTCGACAGAGCAGAGATCAAGCTCCCATGATGCAAATTACAACCGTAAATAAACGGAAAACACAAAATACAGAAACTGTAAATTAACAGATATTTCTTACAGTGCATGTGCATTCTGAGTTCAGTCAAAATAAGTGTGTGTGTGTGTGTGTACAGTCTCTTTTCTCAGGCTGGAGTGTTTGCGGTTATCATACTGTTGTGTTGAGCAAAAGACACTCGACTCTACGCCCTGCACGCTTCTCCTTGCTTGTCTTTGGCAACAGCAGCTGTATTTTTGCATTTAGGAAGGAAGTTCACAAAGTACAGCAAGAACTAAGTTCAAATAAAGATGAGCATTAAGCGGTTTGTTTGCTGGATGAAATCCTAATTTAGATTCACCCAGCTCCCACTTTTTCTTATGTGTGTGTGTCTGTGTGTGTTTGTATGTATGTGCGTGTATGGGGTGATCTCTCCTGTCAGGGGTCTTTTAGTGACTGTGTGCATGAATGAATTTAAAGGGCAGGCTAAACAGCCCATTGATATGGTCATAAAACATGAGGGGCATTGTGATCTTTTTTTCTAGTCTTCTAACAGCATAAAATTGCACATTTACAGAAGACACCAACTAAAATGTAAGTCTGTGCAACAATCAGTCAAACTAGAATCTTTAGATGACAATTTAAGGATCACAGAATAAACAAAATTTATTAGTTGAATAGATTAAACTAAAAAAGTGATAGATTAGTTGACTTAAAAAGTGAGTAAACCCCTTGCTTTAAAATCGTCAAGTATATGAACTGTGTACAAATTACTCCAAGTTACAGTGGGGTTAAAGTAAAGTAACCTACCTATAGCTTTTTAGTGTTTTAATTCATTTTCATTTAAATTGTTATATTTCAAATCACTCAGGTTTTTTCCATTAGTTCACAAATGTTTTTAGTTTATTAACATTTTCAAGCATTTTATTATTATTTATTATTTGATGATTTATTCTTTTGCCTATACTGTATTTGAAAAAGTACAGACCAGAATATTTATTCCCCTATCATATTTTAAACATTTAACTTTTCCAAAAGTTATTAGTAGACACTTCACTTACTGTATATTTAATATTCTTCATTTTGTATATGTTTATCATAATTTCTTTACAGTTAATGCAAACAACAAAGCGGGTATTGTCTTTAACCTTAATATTTGTGTATTTGGGTATTTATTCACATTTCTATGTATATGTCCCTGTTTTAGTGACTTCATTTTCATATCATATGCATGATAGTATGCAAACTTGCTTATGAAACATTATTGGATCCTGTTTATTTTTATTTATTTATTTTTTTTAGATCCTGCTTTTTTGTTTATTTGTGGGCTAAATTAAACCAAAAATAAATACACTAACTTACAAAAGTTTTGTCATCAATCCCAGTTGTAAGAGCAACAAATAATAACTTCACTTCAACTGTATCCCAATCATCACAAATACTGTGACCTACTGGATATCACATGGACCCAAGATTCTCAGAGAAATCAGTCAAGTTTGGTGAAGAAAAAATCATGGTTTGGGTTTACATTTAGTATAGAGGTATGCGAGAGATCGATGGTAATATCGACAGCCTGAGGTATCAAGACATTTGTGCTGCCCATTACATTACAAACCACAGGAGAGGGCAAATTCTTCCGCAGGATAGCGCTCCATTTCATACTTCAGCCTCTACATCAAAGTTCCTGAAAGCGAAGAAGGAAAAAGAAGGTGGGTGCTCCAGGATTGGCTAGCACAGTCACCAGACATGAACATTATTGAGCATATTTGGGGTAAGATGAAGGAGGATGCATTGAAGATGAATCCAAAGAATCGTGATGAACTCTGGGAGTCCTGCAAGAACGCTTTCTTTGCCATTCCAAATGACTTTATTAATAAATTATTTGAGTCACTGCAGAGATGTACGAATGCAGCCGTCCAAGATCATGAGAGTCATACACAATATTAATTCTTTATCCACTGCATCATGACTTTATATTTTATACTGTACATTACTTCTTTTGTCTAAGCAATGTCAGACCTTACTGTCCTAATTAAATCATTAAAAATCAAGGCATGATCATATTTTATTTTAGTAAAATAGGTGTAATCTAGAGGCCTTTGTCTTTCATATAAACCACTTCTGATAAAAAATGATCAACTAGAAATCAAGTTATTATTTGTTGTTCTCAAAACTTGGATAGGCGACAAGACTTTTGGAATGTATACCTAGAATGTATCCAGAAAACACAAAACATCCTGAAAGTGAAAGTTCGCTCAGAAATTAAAACGATCTCCTTATTTACTCTCCCTCGTGTGGTTTTAAGCCTTTATGAGCTTCTTTCTTCTGTTGAACAGAAAAGAAGATATTTTGAAGAATGCTGGTTTCTGGAGCCTATAAACTTCCACAGAAGGAAAAGATACGGATGTCCCATCATCCAGCCCTTTTTAAAATTAATTTGTTTTCAACAGAAGAAACTGGAATATGTTTTAAACAAGTGAAGATTCTGTAATGAGAGATAACAGAATTTAATTTTTTTTACTGCCTCTTTAATAAACATCTGATGATTTGAATCACTTCTGTTCTGTTTACACCAGCAATTGTTGCAGTTTCCAATAAAGTTACCATCCTGCTAAACGGAAAGTTAACCCCTAATTTGGTTCTTGCCGAGTGTTTATTTTGGCTGAGGGCCGAAAGACCCCCATCAGTCGTGATGATCAAACTGCATTGTTGTTGTTGTCTCATGTCTGACGGTCTCATGTGTGTGTGTCTCCCACAGACCCCCAGCGCCTGGGCTGATGAATGCGGAGAGAAGAAGAGAGGCTGTCACAAGCGCTCAGCCTCCTGCGGCAGCACTGACCAGCTAAAAGAGGTCAGGACGCGTTTAGAGCCTGATCTCCTCTCCTCCCCCGGGCTTTGTTCCATTCAGCGTGGAGCAGGGCCGGGGCTGGACCCCCTCGTTGTCTTTCTTTCCCCCTCGTGTGAGATTGTGGACGAGGAGACGGGGCAGCAACAGGCTGTTGTGGGTGATGGGGAAGGGAAGATTGAGGCTGTGTCATTATCATATTATTGGCAGGCTCTAGTAAAGCAGTGTCACCTCGCATTACACCCTCCCTTCCTCCTGTTTGTGTGAGCAACCTTCCTTCCTTCCCTTTGTGTGTCTCGCTGTGCCCCTTGAGCGTCAGGCTCTCGCAGGTATCAGGGCATGCTTTATCTTCCTGCCACCTGTTATCTCAACTGCCATCGCTCAACACTCAATCGACTCTAAACTCTAATGTGTGTTCTGGTGCTCCGCTTCACAGTTAATCATTTTCTATACAGTCAGCAAGTCGCATGTGGACTCACACATGCTGTGGGCAGATCTGAGTGTGCTGCTCACCCAGAGCAGGTTTATGGAGAGCAGGGTTCCCACGGGTCATAGAATTTCTGCGATATTGTCTTACCTTCAGCATATGTTTTATGCAGCAGATGCCCTTCCAGTCGCAACCCAGCACTGGGAAACTCACATCCACACTCATTCATACACTAAAGGCCAATTCAGTTTAGTCAATTCACCTATAACGCATGTCTTTTTGACCCAGAGGAAACCCACACCAACAGGGGCAGAACATGCAAACTTTACATAGAAATGCCAACTGACCCAGCCGGGACTTGAACCATCGACCTTCTTATTTTGAGGCGACAGTGCTATCCACTGAACAACTGAACTGGCAGTCATTAAAGTTAAATGCAGTCACTAGACTTTACCTGTTAATTAAGGAACAATTTTTTTAGGTTAACTCAACAATTTTTTCAGTCAAAAACTTTTTAATGCATTTTACCTGTTCATTTAAATGATAATAGCATTTTTAAAATTATTTTTTATTGAACATTTTAAATTCTAAACTAATAAAACCGTAATACTGCAAGAATAGGTACAAAATCAGGATTAAACATGTCAGATAAAGATTTATACTTCTGCATCAAGTAATCGGTGTGACCCAGAGTGCTTGCCATAGCCGTGCATTTGTACTTTTGCTACCGTTTGTGTTGCTCTGCAATAACACTTCCAAAACGCTAGCTGGCAGTAGGTGTTTATGTTTCTCTGTGTTAGGTTTCTTCGCAGTTATTGTGTTTTTTCTGAATGCTACAAGTAGCTAAAACTTGCTCATTCAGAGGCAGGAACCAGCGGACGTATAACAATTTTAATCATAAAGATAAACACGTAACTAATGTATTCATCTAGAGCTCCTTCACGGTGCTCAACACTTGTAAACACTCGCTCCTTCTGGCCAGCACCTCTTAGCACCGCCCACAGCTACCAAGCCAACCAATCACAGCTTGCGCTACACGTTGTTGCGACGTGTGGTTTCATTTTTTGCGAGGTGCGCATCAACGTCGGCATCAGCCTTGGCGAGGGCTTTGCGACCGTGCGCAGGCTGTGCCAGAGCATACATGTGCGCTTGACGCAGAAGTATAAATCAGCCTTCACTGGCTTCATTATTTTGGCTGTGTTATATTCCAAACTAATCATGTGCTGTAGGTAGAGTTTTCAATAGAAATCAACAGAAGTAGATGAATCCAGCCATATTATCAAGATAGTTTTTTTTACCGCATTTAAAACAATGGACTGAATCCTTCACAATGGTGCTTTTTTTAATTGAAAATGCATAAATATGAAAACAGGACACAAAGGGAAACATTTTTAAAATGCTGTTTTGATGTTTCCATGTTTAGGGAAATGTAGATTAAAGGCAAGTGCGAACAAACCCACAACAATTGTGGAGTATGTGGTAGTGCTGTTGCTCAAGTGTGGGTTTACTTCACATTTCAACCAACAGCGGAGACGCTTCTTACTAACAGCAGATTCTACAGCGCCAAGCTTGCAACAGCACTTCATCACATCCTTAAACAGATATTGTTTACTTAAAGGTGACAGCATCAAAAACTGACCTGCCATACCTCATTCAGCATATTTGGTCATTTTCTCAGAGGTGTAAAAACGGATTCTTTTAAAGCGTGTGACGTGAAGTATTTTTTAAACCCAAGAGAAAAACCTTTATGTTTTTTGTTGCCGTGTAAGCAAAACCTAAGGCCAACATGTCGGAATGATATCAATTTTAGGAGCTTTGGCTTCAACCTGATGTAAGGCTTGTAAAACTACTATTGAGCTGTATTTGAGTCACGCAAACAGTGAGTAAAATACAGTATCCATTGTCGTTCTTGTATTTCTTTTAATGTCCTGTAAAGTTATATTCAGGCAACAACCAATGTCAATGTCAAATTTATTTATATAGCACTATTGAACACAACCAAAGGTTGACCAATGTGTAATGTGAACAATACAAATCACAAAGAAAAAGCTATACAATTATAGCTAAAACAAACAATTCTCATTGATAGTTATTATAGCTCAAAAAATGCCATATCAAAAAGGTAAGCTTTCAGCCTACATTTAAAAACAGACAGAGATGATATAGGCCTAATACAGAGGGGCAGAGCATTCCACAAGGTAGGACCAGCTACTGCGAAAGCCCGGCCATCCCTGCATTTCAGCCTCAACTTTGGGATGTATAACAGTCTCTGGTTAGATGACCGAAGAGACCGACCAGGCTGATGTTCAGTCAACAGGTCTGACAGGTTGGAAGGAGTCAGGCCATTTAGTGATTTAAACATCAGGAGAAGAATTTTAAAAGTTATGGTGCACAGGCAACCAGTCAAAGAGCGTAAGACTGGTGTGATGTGGTCATATTTTTTGATATACACTTTATTATTATACAAAGCACAGCAGCTACCTGTTTTTTCTGTTTATTACAGGTCATGGAAATGCAACATTTTAGTCAGTGAAAGTCAGGAAATGTGATATTTAGCTGAGAGTGAGAAGACTTAGAGTTGAGGACAAAAAAGACTAAAGGATTTCATCCACTGTAGCTGTGGTTAATAAAGATTACATAGTTATGTAACATTTCATTGGTAATAGCCTATTTCTAAAGCACAAGTGACCGCCTCGAGTGTAACTGAGACTTTAATTTGAACAACTTGTTCAAAAACACAGATTTGTTCAGTTAAGAAATATTGCTTCATTGCTCTGAGGTTTTCCTGTTAGTTTGTTCATGTTTGGCTATTCAAGTTGTTGGTAACTTTTGTGTTTTTTCCAGTTGAACATTAAATAATATTGTAAGCTGAAACCACTTTGATGATTCATAAAATGCAAATCAACTACAAGCACTTTAAGACAAATGGAAAACAAAATGAACATTCACGGATTTTGATGATGCATGGAGGTGTAATGAATCAAAACACTTGATCTGTGAAGAATCTGATTATTTACAACATTATTGTGTTTATTTCACACAAAAGGCAATCAGATCTGACTCAATTCACAACAATCTTTACCTGCAAGATTCTTTTCACATAATGACGCTCTTTAATTTCAAAATCTTTCATAAGCCAATATTTTTGATTATGATCTTACCAAAATGGCGACACGGTGGCTCAGTGATTAGTACGATCGCATCACAACAAGAAGGTTGCTAATTTGAGCTAGGCATGGGCCGGTATAAGATTCTGACTGTATGATTACTTTGGATAAAAATACCACGGTTTCACTGTATCATGGTATTATGATTACTGCTCTATAATATATTCTTTTTAAATCTGTGGGTAAAAACAGGGCTTCTGCAGGTTTCATCACATCAAATTAAAGACCTTTTAAGACCTTTATGAATGAAATTTCAGACTTTCACTTGGCAAAACACTAATAATTTTTTTTTTATTTGCCCGATTAAAATTAAAAGTTGGTTTTACAGTTTGGCCATAGCTTTACATGGACAATTAGTGAAAGACCTATTTAAAAGTATTTAAGACCCACAACAGCATATTTCAGTAAATTTAATACTTTTTAAGGGCTTTAAATTTAGTTTTTGAAATTGAGACATTAAGATTTTTTTAAAACACTGTGGACACACTGAAAAAACTAAAACTTTTTTTCCCCTTTGAACACAATATATTTTATTTTGAGAAACATTTATAATATTCTGGAACAGTAAACATGTCGGGCTAAATAATTAATATAAATCACTGACTTCTGCTATCGTCTGTAGTTTTAAATATTCAGATTTCTTTACAATTAAAAATGGCATCTTTGTACATTTTTTCTACTAAAGATACTTTTGCCCTAAAAAACACAAATAAAAAAAATCTTACACATAACTTAGGAACGGTATTACAGAACATTTTGTCAGTTTTAAAACCTTGACTTTTTCAAACCACAGTATAAATTGAAAACGGTTATTGTTCCATGCCTGGTTTGAGCCTGGTTTCGTCAGGGTGCTCCGGTTTCCCCCACAGTCCACCACAGTGGGGTATAGGTGAATTGAATAAACTTAATTGGCCGTAATGTGTGTAAATGTGAGAGCGTATGAAAGTTTTCTAGAACTAGGTTGCAGCTGGAAGGGCATCCTCTGTGTAAAACATGGATAAGTTGGCGGTTCATTCCGCTGTGGTGACCCCAGATTAATAAAGCGACTAACCTGAAAAGAAAATGAATGAATGAATCTTACACACAAATGTAATCCTACTTATTTATACTCCATAATTCAATTATAGAGAATTAAGCTCCCTCTTGGTGAGTTTGCACCCACAATACACATCAGGAAACTCATGCGTTCAAACTCAAAGTTCAGGACCATTTGCCATGGCTGTGTCTAATCGGAGGCCCCTCGTGTTATGAGATCTGTTTCAAGTGAAACAAAGCAAAGGCTTCTATTGTTTATTATAGGTGAACTGCCTATTCCAGCATAGACAAGATGGTAACCCAGAATGCACTGAAACATGCCCATTAAGAGTAAAAACCATGTAAAACCCTTAACCACATAAAGAAAAATATAGATTTTGTTATTTTAATTACTGGAAAAATTTAATTGTACAATTAAATTGCTCTATATTAATCAACTTCTACTTTAGCATAGCTTAGCATAAATCATTGAATCTGATTAGACCATTAGCACTTTTTTGTCATACCATGGCTGCAGCAGGTACAGGTACGCAGCACTGTTGCGTATTATCTGCTCCCGCCATGGTACAGCAGCAGAAGTTCATTGATTTTTACGCTTGAATGAGAGGAAAGTTCATATCCATATCACCAAGAAAATTGATCAAATATTTTTATTTTATTTTCTGTCTGCACTATATACAGAAGAGTCAAGCTTGTAAAGGACAATTGACTCTAAACTAAACGTTCTGTCATCATTTACTGGCCCTGCAGTGGTTTTAAACCTTTATGAGTGTCTTACTTCTGTTGAACACAAAAGATGATATTCTAAACAAAGCTGAAAACCTGTAACCATTGACATCCATAGTAGGAAAAACAGATACTATGGAAGTCAATGGTTACAGGTTTTCAGCTTTCTTTAGACTATCTTCCTTTGTGCAATAGAAAAACACAGAAATGTTTGTAACAAGTGAAGAGTAAAATGATAGCAGTCTTTTTTGTTTAGGGTGTACAATCCATTCATATTTGAGATTTATCGAAACATTTTTTTTTGCGAGATGTTGATGGTCTAATCTAATTCAATCATTTATGCTAAGCTAAGATAAGCTAAGCTAAAAGTGTGTCCAACAGACCTTGATGTTTATAAGGGAAAGAATATCGATCATAAATGTTTTTAAAAGGATGTGTTTGGGGTGAAGAGAAGGTTGGGGTGGTTATTTGTGTGTGTGTGGAATGTAATGCCAAAAAGACAATCAACAATCCCATCTGACCCTGGACTCTGACTCATCCACTGCTAGCATTCAATAAGACGTAACGTACAGTAATTATCATACTGTAATCTCTTTGTTATCACTACAAAGAGGTTTATTTTGAAATAATGACCATCTGAATGTACATTTTTAAAATCTTGTGCTGTTTTTATCTTTGAAAGTTGACTTGAAGTGAGGAATAATGTGTGTCCTGACAGTCTTTCTCTGCATGTTTCAGATTGTGAAGCTGAGGCAGCAGCTCCAGCGCAGTAAACACAGCAGTCGTCACCATCGCGACAAGGAACGCAAATCTCCCTTCAATGGCAACCATGCTGCTTTCAGCCAATCACAGGTGAGCTCTTTCTCACCTGCTCTCAGCTCAGCACAGGAACACTCACCACTGTTATTTGTCTTCTACTTTTTTCTTTCGTGGATTCAATTATTACATCTATAGCAGAGCCATTTCCTCCAGCACCCATTAGCTTGGGTCTATTTGTATTTTATTATTCAAAAGTTGTGGGTTTAGTTAGATTGTGGCTGCTATTTCTTAATCAAAAATAAGAGTAAAAACTTTCAACACAGGCTCATTCTGAAAACGTAGTCCTATATAAATTTGTGGAGATCGCAAATTATGTAGCCAGAAGTACGTATGGCTGCATTTCATTTTTAGAGCGAGCACAATGGGGCGGTATGACATCAGTCCTTTTTGCGCTTACCAGCTGACCTCTTACCTTCATGTGGACGGCTGTCCCGCTGTTACTAATTTGTCCAGTTAGCTCGCAATGTATGTCGGCGGTGCTGAGAGAAATTGACCACAATGACGGGGTTCAAGTCTGGTGAGGAACGGTTTCAGAAAGCAGGAAGGACAAAAACAGACACAAAAAATGTAAATAAACAAGTAAATAACAGGGTGAAAATGTGGTGAAATATAAAAATATGGTAAAAATCAAGCGAGGGATTTTCTTTTTCTGGATTGCTTTTTAAAACTGTCGGTTGGGTTGAGGGAAGGAGGAGTCAGTCAGTCAACAAAGGCCTCTGGTGGATTTACACGTGAACAGCAGTACACAGCGGGCTCTGATGGATTTACATGAAAATGCCAGTACACAGCAGCCTCTGGTGGATTCGTGAAAACAAAAACTGCATCAAAAACGTAGCTCCTGGGACATATTTGCCGCGCCTCACAAATGTATATAGGGGTACGTTTTCAGAATGAGCTTGGGTTAAAAACTTTTCTGTGTACTATTGTCCTTCAGAAAGCATTCTGTTATGTTTATTTGAACCTCAAGTAATTATTATTATTATATTATTATTGTATTCTAGTAATTTTAGTACTAATAAATGCTTTTAAAAGCATTGTTGCCCCATGTTTTTGTGGACATTTTATAGTGATTTTATTATAGGTTTTATTATATTTTTTTACTCTAGATTAAAATGGCTTATTTGAATTCTGCCGTAGTCATTCAGAATATGTGTGCTACCCAAATAATTGGTATTTGAGAACGGGGTTCTCAAGCCAGATGGTGTATTTGACCAGGGACTCATCTTCTATGTCCAAAATGCATCACAAACTGCTTGAGAAACTGTTCTACTATGATAATTAATGATGAAAATAAATGATGTTCAATAAGATGTACTTGTGTTTACTAACTCTTTATTCAATTAAACATTAATTTTGAACTTTAGGCCTACATAAGCTCCACACAGCGATTTCATACTTGCTTTTGATGTACGTACATACAGAAAATGCTGCTTCGCAAAGGCAAGTTCACAGAGCCCTGACGGTATGTCAAACACTGAGTATGGCTGAATATGCTTGAATATGATTAAAACAATACACAGATTAAGAGTTTACCATGTAAACATGTAAACTAAACAGAAATGGAATTAGGACATGTGGAGTATGCAGATATTAGTGGCTTTATTGAAGTAAACACCACGATCAAAAGATTACCGTCATGTAGGACTTTTAGCTATATTATCCGACAAGATTCACATAGGCGGATGTCAGTAAAGGACCACACAAACACACACAGAGATGCACAGGCGCACACACACACACACACACACACACACACATCGCGAAATGCAAAAGTTTTTTTCTTTCCATTTGGCCTGTGTTATTAAATGCCATAACACTCTCACCAGTCCTTACTCCTTATTTGCGTCTAATACCCCAGTTTGTCACGGGGGTATGAATGAAATGTCAGGAATCTTGCTAATTTGATTCAGAATGGCACTTTTTTGTCAGACAGCTCACCGGTCAGGTATACATACCGCTTTAAAATATGAAGGTGAAAGTCATCATAACTTGCAAAGAATAGACCCAGCTTCCAACCCCACTTTGAGAATAGATTAACGGCGATATTTTTTTTATTGCGCAATAAAAGTCTCGCGTTAATGCAGCATGTTAACAACGATAACAGCCCACCACTAGATTTTATATTTTATTATAATAGTTAAATCTATTATTTAAAAAAACATATTTTTTTAGAGATTATTTGATTACTCGAACATTTAAAGAAAAATAAACTTTTGCTCACTTTTTTGATTATTTAATATTCACCTTTGAGCCAAGCTTCAAATCTCATACTTTTGCACACTGTTATTTAATAAATTAGGGATTTTTTTTTTCTCTAGATTGTGGAAAATGGTTCCAGTAGGCCTACATTTTTTAATAAAAAGTAAATACATTTATATAATATGCTAATATCACTAAGAACCAATGAAATCCATTTTATTTTCCCAAATTATTATTATTTTGGTTTGAATTTCTCCTTTTAATATTTAAAATTTAATTTAAATCATCAAAAAGTATTTTTTTTTCTAATTAATTGAAGAAATTAAAATGAAATCATTTAAGTTTTGTATATTTGCAACATTTTACAGTGGCTTTTTATTTTTCTAAATTCCTTCTTATGCCTGCAAAAGTTTAAAAACAGAGCAGGAACTGTGTAATTATTACTTTATTTTGTTATTTTTATTATATAAAGTGTATTAATACTTAATGTTTTAATATTTTAAAAGCAATATTACTAAGATCATGATTATTACTACTTTTAAGAAGCAACTTCTCCTGTACAATAGTAATGGGCCTATATTTCTGCCACATAATCTTCAAGCAAAACCAAACTTTTACAAATGCGCCATGACATTCAGTTATACAGCTGATTCAATCTTAATGTCTCCATGCCACAATTCCACCCCAAATTTTCGGCATTGCAAAACCCAAAAAGCCTTCTGAAGTCAGACCACATGTCTGTACTGACTGAAAGTCCCCTCCAACTGATTCACAAGAGCGTCTGTTTGTTGACATAAGCATAACACAGTGCAGTGAGTGCAATTCATGCCATATAAGCAGAAATAGAATTACAAAACTTATGTATCGAAATCATTTTAGAAGCGCTCATCTCTTGGGTTTCCACACATTTTGAGCTTGTGGATTTCTCTGTCGCACTCGTTCTGAAAGCATGTGAGTGGCTAAGTGTGCATACCAGTGTGTGAAAGTGTGTGTGTGTGTGTGGGTCATAATTGGCAAGGCCAGGTGCAGGCTAGCAGGCTGTTTGAGAGTGAAAGAGCTCTCTTCACCAAGACAGAAACAGTGAATAAATTACTGCAGCCTCTCGCTTGGCCGTGTCTCCCTCCCTCCGTCTTTTTCTCGCTCTCTCATTGGGTTTTGTGTTTGTCCATGAATTAGTCCAGCATGTGGTGAATGTGCCGCACGCCTGATCTTCACTGTACTGTAGCTGCCAGCCAGTCAATTAAAGGCCACACTCTGTCCGGCCCGCTGGATGTGTGTTTTTTTGGGGCCCGTTGTGTGGCTGGGTCTTTTTTTTTTTTTAAAGTCCATGTGGCGGGCTCAAGCACCATCTGTCGTCTCACTGTATTCATCTTTTGTATTTAATCCTCTGAACTGTACTCAGACTAAGACTCAAACCTGCTGCTGCACAAAACACCAAACTATTCAAAGCTCCGTCTGATTTGGACCTGCATACAAATTTGGCCAGCACAGAAAGACACAGAAAAAAAATCCTGCTGAATATCTGTGTTCAGAATGGGGGACAGATGTACTATTGGACATTCAATGTACAGTTGAAGGCAAAATGATTAGTCGCCCTGTGAAATTTTCATAATTTTTATCAGATATATCCCAAGTGGTTTTTAAGAGGGCAATGTAAATTTCCACAGTATTTTGAAAACAATTACTTTTAAGGTCAATATTATTTGCCTCCTTAAAAATGATTGGCTACAGAACAAACCACTGTTGTCCGTTGACTTGCTTCGTTAACCTAATTAACCTAGTTAAGCCTTTATTTTGCAATTTACTGTAAGCTGAATACTACATCGTAAACTGCGCTTCACATTGTTTTTAGCTGAATCAAATGCACTTTTCTAGTCATTTCAACTTAAATCAGTCAAACTGACTTAAAATATTACGTTAAACTTTTTATAACTAAACAAAATTTACTTGAAACCTGATTAACTTATTAAAATACATCAAAGTAACGTAAAAGCATTTGTTGTCATGTTTTTATACAGTGTAGTATCTTGCAAAATAGCTATTAAAATATTATGCTCTGTTGTCATAGCAAAGACAAAATAAATTTGGTATTTGGAATTAGATATTAAACTAATATGTTTAAAAATGTGTTGAAAATCACACCAAAAACCTTCTTGCTGATGTGGCATTAGCAAACAGTCAAGCACTGGCACATGCGCCACCATTGTTGTGTGTTTGTTTGCGCTTGCACCCAAGTAGCAATGAAATTTGGCCCAGATTTTGCATAAAGCTGACATAGCAGGCGTTCATCCGGCACTGGAATACAGCAAGTGGGCCAAACATGACCTGGGTTTCGCAGAGGTGGTGCCATCTTTAAGGCTGCACAAAAGACTTTGGCGAGATATCAAATGTAGTATTTGGCTCAGATGATAAAAAAAATTATATGTGGGCCACATAAGTTTGGCCTATCTTGACCCACATTTAAAATATATCTTACCCAAGTAGCAAAGAATTCCGGCCAAGATTTGGCAAAAAGCTGATACAGCAGGCATTTTTCCGGCGCTGGCATACAGCATATGAGCCAAACATGGCCCGGGTTTCGCAGAGGTGGCACCATCCTTAGGGTTGCACAAAAGACCGGGGCCAGATTTGAAATGTAGGATTTGGCCCAGATGTAAAAAAAAAACTGATATGTGGGCCACGTAAGTTTGGTCACTCTTGACCCACATTTAAAATATATTTTAGCCAAGTAGCAAAGAGCTCTGGCCCAGATTTGGCATAAAGCTGGCACAGCAGGCATTCTTCCGGTGCTGGCATACAGCCTGTGGGCCAAACATGGCCCGGGTTTCGCAGAG